CGCCGTCATCATCACCTGCTTAATCAGCTGCTCATCAGCGCCATCGTGGGCTCGCGATCGTAGTAGTCCTTGACTTAGACCATGACCCTCTAGTGTTAATAGGCTGCATTTCAGCCATGCTTTCTGAACCAAATTAAATTCTAAATCATGAAAAGGTGAAAACAAAATTTGCAAAGACATGGGAACTGACCACACAGTCCTGAAGTACGTGGATCCTGTCAGTGAAGCCCCCCAAAACATTACCTTGTGCACCAATAGAAACCTTGGAAAATAGAGATGCATAATCTTAGTAAGCATATCAGCACTACCTCTTACAAAGCGAAAATGTGTTCAATCATGGCACCCTTTAACAGTTGATTACTCATTTGTATCAAGAGTCGGACTAAGAAAACAGTAGGTACGTTGGTGTGTAGACTGGAGTGTCATTTTCTTTTACAGGAGGTTAATTCATCATTAAGGAAAAGTGAATAACATTAATACTGCGCATGGGCCTAAGGAACATCCCAGAGAAAAAGGTTCCATCAACTTATAAGAATATTTCTAGATTGTCGAATAACAATCAGGAAAACAGAGGTTAAACCAACAGTTTATCAGAAGGTCAAGCAAGTATAAGCATATTTATCACAGTAGTTCCTTTCGCGAAGAAATGTCATATATGAATGAATATTATCCCGAGATACCGGTTATAGAAGTACAGGTAGAAGCATAGACCATGGACTAAGGAGATCACTTCATATAATACATCTTCACCAAAGTTTGTTCGAACTAACTCTACAACATTTTCAATGCAAGTCTCAATGAGAACCTGCGAAGGAAAAAAGAACACCTACATTATTGTTGGGATTAGGAGACTGTGGGAGCATAGTAATGTTGGGATCAGGGGTGTTATGTGACTAATGGGAGCGTAGTAATGTTGCAATTAGGTGTTCTTTGACAAATGGTCACACTTAAATCATATATATTACACTACTGTGAGAATATATGTAGATCTCTTGAGGGGGAAAGTACATGCTCCAAGAGAAATGCCGTTGAATAAGTAAATCAAAAGTTAAATACATGTTATGAGTATTACCTCACAAAGCTCTCTTTTCACCAACAGTTCTTGCCGCCATTTAATCGGGTCCTTCATGCTATCAGATGCAACCTGTGTGTCTTATGAACCCTCATGTTCTTTGTCAACTACATTATCCAAGTTAACTGATGCCTCATCCTGAAACAAAAGAAGCAATTTTCTGGGGGCCTGTTTCTCTTCAAAGTACTTAAGAGTTAATAGAATAGGTAATTTGCCTTTGAAATAAGGGAAGACACGTTGTAATTCCGATAAATCAAATCAGTCACAGTCAGATAATGTGAGCCATGTGGGTGAAATATCTGCAGCAATGGGTGTCTCCCGTTCTGTTCCAGCAAAGAGCTCCAACATAAATAGTCTCATGTGAATATAACTAGCAATTAAAAGTAAGCACATCACAAGCTTGGAATTCCTTTTACCTTGTCAAATATGAGTTCCTTTAACTGCTTTATCAGCTCTTCAATTAAAACCTACAAATATTGAAAGTAAGCTATAAGCATTGTCTATTCAGACTACATGTAATGGCAGCTTAACATCTGGTTCAAGCAAACTATTGGTGCTGGCTAACCTCAGTAACAAGTTTGGTGTTATCAACAATGGATAGAAAACAAACAACGAACTGGAGGAAAAAAGACATGTTAGTTCAGTTGATGATTAATTGCTTGGAAGCATAAAACCATCCATAGTTTTTGTGCACTGGGAGAATGTTTGTATAGGTTAGAGCATAGAATTCACACAGTACGACGAAAAGTGCCTGCAGCTACCGGGCTCCATGGCTCTTGGTATTTGAAAATTTTGAAAAACACACTTTCGTTGCTAAAAAAAATCTTAAATAAAATACGTGAATACACACACATTCCTAAGGCCCGGTAAAAATCTGAAGAAGAAATACTTTGTATTTTGGGAAATACAAGAAAGTGAAATTTCTGACAGAAATGGCACCCCTTTTCTCCTATATACTGTCAGAAATTTGTTTTTTTTTCTTCTATAGCCCAAAACAAAACGAGATTTCTACCGAAACTGGCCACGGGTATTGAAAATGTGTATATGTATCCCCGGAAAAAAATCACATTATTCTGAAACTTCAAAAGTACAAAATTCAAATGTTTAAATATAGAGTAGTGGAGCTCGGGTGCTGAAATCCTTCTCTCCACAGTACAATCCTGTTCAAACACTAAAATATATTACATATATAGACATCACTTACAAGGCATACATAATCACTGAGAGCAAGCTTCATAATCTTCCCCTTCAAGCTTTTGATAATCTTCTTCCTATCCTGAAATGCATTACCGTGTTAAATGGCAAAAGCACATTGGAAATAAGCAAGAAGGAAAATACTACTTCAATATGCACCGTGAGGAGGCTCCAATGTGCTTTTGCCATTTAACAGGGTAAGCACGAAGGAAATAAGCAAACTTAGTCGGATTTACACATAGTTTGAGAGGATGAGTATTATGCACATTGGAAATAAGCAAGAAGGAAAATACTACTCAATATGCACCGTGAGGAGGCTTCAATGTGCTTTTGCCATTTAACACGGTAAGCAAGAAGGAAATAAGCAAACTTAGTCGAATTTACACATAGTTTGAGAGGATGAGTAGTGTGCACATTGGAAATAAGCAAGGAAAATACTACTGAATATGCAGCACGCTCTAGATCCGCACAGCAGGGAACCGCTGGACCGTGCCGAACACCTCGCTCCTTGCGATGGCGATCGTTCTTGCCGGACCAGCCATCGCTGGCTTTCCAGGTGCGTTGTGTCTACCTACATTTACCTTGCTGCTGCATTCAGTTTCCCAAATTCATAGATTCAGTCTTTCAGTTCATATATTCCTAGGTTCATAGATTTGAAGATTCAATCTTTACAATCAGCAGTACTTCTAGATTCACATAATCAAAGAATCAATCTCTACAATCAGCAGTACTTCTAGATTCACATATTCAATGGATTTTCTAGGGAACGATCTGTCCACCGGGTTCCATTTTAGCCCACATCCATACTTTGACAAACTGTATTTCTTACTTGGCAGCAGAAGTATACTAAGGTCATCGCATGATCTTGCTGAAAGTCAGTACAACTTTCCAGTTTACCCAGTGGCTGGCCTTGCTGCTAGTTGCTGCAGTAAGGCACTCCTAGCATGACCTCTCTAAATTGACCAAGCAGACTGCAAATGAATCCTAGCGGTTCTAACTGTACTATTTCTTCAGTCATGCCAACATTTTTATTCAGAAAATCGCTCCATGTTCGATGGGGTAAAGTTGTTTGTTCACTAACCTCCGGTTTCATCCGGGCGCCCAAGGATTCCTCCTCCCCGTTGATAGCTCCGATGTCGGCGGGACCTCTCGCTTCCCTCCGCCGTGAAGATCTGCGCTTCACCGCTGTCTGCCGCCGCGTGCTGCTGCGGCGCCGTCGGCCCTGCCACAACTTGGCCACCAAACTCCCCCCAACCTCCTCAAGCAGAGCGGATCTGATTCATGGGAGAAAGGGGTCCTCTCAGTCAACCAAGCTGGTCCTCTACAAATGGAGACGCACCCGCCCAAAACCAAAAGATCAACATACCAGCCGATCTGCATCAGAAACTCCATGTCCATGGTGCCTCGCCGCCGGCGGTCCAGACCTCTATCCCGCACTCCTCAGCTACCAAATGACCCTTGGGGGAGAAGACACTCGCCCCTGCATCCAATTCGTCATAGTGCCCACGAGACGGAAAGCGAACTTTCCGATCCACGGATCAGACGGGGAGCGGCGATTCTGATCCACGGCTCACCTCGCCGCCGTTCACCTTCGCGTTAAACTAGCCATTCTATTCCATCTGCATGACCCACCACCTATCCTGTCGCGTACGTATTTCCCACCACCTATCCTGTCGCGTACGTATTTCCCAACAGTACCCAATTTCTGGCAGCCGACAACCGCGCGAATAAAAATATGCTCGCGAGTAGTTACTCCACGTCCCTATGTAATTCCTTTAAATCAAAGGAGCCCTAATTGTGTGCCTGCATGTTGGCCAGGCTAATCACCTGCGTCATCAGTCCAGGCCAGGCTAACTGAGAAATCGCCAGGGCAGCAACCAAACAAGGTACAGGCAGCTTTCAGGCGAGGCACCTTTGTACCAGGACAGCAACCAAACGCACTCTCAATCCGGTAGACAGGTTAGGCGCCTCCCTGGCTCCGTTTCCTTGCCAAAAATCCACGGCGCATTGGATAAAATCGACTCTCATGCGCCAGGTTTTTCCAAAGGAAACGGAACAAACTCACGCCCTCCAAACTAACCGAAACAGAATTTAATCAGAGAGCCAACGAGGCAGAGTAACAACTCTTTCTACAACCCTACACCTGGTAATAATCCTAAAGCTTTGGTACATGAAGATGTATACACATTTAGACTGGAAAAGATAAATGTGAGCATTCTGCAGTTCAGGAGTACAAAAAATAAAAAATGTGAGCGTTCTGTTAAGCACAACAGCAACCAGTCCACAACCGCAAGGCCAACAAAATTCCCCACCCTTCATGTTTTTGTTTCTGCCTGTCTCTCGATTCAATTCCGTATGGGAGCACCAAGAATTCCACCAAGGTTCTATAAACATCCGCACAAGGCCGTTCGACGCATCGCTACTAATTACACTCCCTGCAAGCTCAGGTAATCATCAACCCCCACCCAAAAGCAAGCTCCCTGGCCTCCAACAATGCTGGGACGCAATGCAGCAGTGAGAGGCCTCGAAGTCATGACAGCTACCAAAAATATCTCGGAAAGAATAGGCACGCCCTCTCACCTTGGCCCTGTGCGCACAACCCAGCTGCAGCAAAAATGCTCCCACAGGAGGCGGAAATGCCGGAGTTCTGAACACGCGGAGAGCCACTCGATCTGTGCAAAATGAGACACGCTCGACTGCCGGAAAGTGCATGCAGCCGCGCGGTTCAGTGCTGCTATTGCGCGCATGAGCTGTTGCTCGACTTCGATTCTTCCAGGATCCGGTCCATGTATCTGCGGAACTTCTCGGCTTGGGGCCCGGGTCTTACAATGTTGACGTTGCTCCACTGGGAGCATGGATCGCTGAACCATCTCTTTCTGCCTGTGCACCACGCTCCAGGAACAGGTCTGTGGCGCCACCGCTGGAGTATTTTCTCATCAATCTTGTCCAGCAGATACTCTTTCTCCCGGAACTTCCTAGCAAAGGGCACCCCGCTCTCCACAATCTCCTCATAATGTGTGATGTTCAGAAACCGGGGCTCCATCTGAGGCGGGTCGTCCCAGGCCACGTACCGCAAGTCGTTGTTCACCGTGAAGTTGCGGAAGTCCGAGTTGCACGCGACCGAGTGGAAATAACCTTCCAAAGGCAGCATCACGTTGGTGAAGTACATGAGAAGGGTTCGAGGGAGGTTCTCCCATCCGAAAATGCAGTACTCTATAAACCGCCGGTTTAGAATGACCCAAGGAGAACCTATCAGAAATGAATGGAGTACATATAAGGATGTAAAATAATTGCTCAAAAGGAAGGCCAGGGAAGTAGAAGCAGAGGTATAATAATAATACCTGTGAAGAATTTGAAACCATCTGGAGTTGCCCGTTTCTCTGTGGATTGGAAGAACTGATTCCTGCCAGCCAGGTATATCCCAGCATCTACTATCACTGGTTGCACTCTCTGAGACCTGCAACAATATATTGGTGAAACTAATACCAGTGCAGCTAAATTTTTGCTAAGTTCAGATAGTACATACTCTTTCCAACCAATATCACTAGTGTGATCGATGAAGTTGAGGTGCCTTGGCACAGACGAGAAGACATGAATCAGGTCTGCAGCAAGCGAAAACATAAAAGACCATAAATACCAGAAAAGTCAAGAACACCCAAGCTTCATTAACTACCATAAAGCTTCATCAGTTGAAACATATTCACACATGTGAAAAGGTAAAGTGTATACGTCAAACTTAAATAACTCCAGACTAGCAATAAGTAAGTTTTTCTGTTGAAACCATCTTAGCAACATATACGAAACCAAACAGAGATTAATAGTGTGGGTTCATTAGGACTTAGGAAAGAGAGAATAACACAAGTGGAGCAAGGTGTGAGGGAATATTACATATGCATGTTGGGGCTAGCATGTTACACACATTTTCAGCACGAAATGATACAAGAGATCTATCATATAAGAAAAGACAAAATATATGATGAGGTCCAGGCAAGGATGACTGTAGTCTGTAGACATTCTACTTACTGTACTAAGTGAACAATAACAGGGTAAAATGTATTAACAAATACCAGATTATTATTATTATGATAAAGCAAGCGAACCCAAGAAAAAAATATGAAGTACATTATGGACAAGCTAGGGAAGAAGTATACGAGTGAGAGCGCGACAGCAGCACATAACTTCTAAATATCTAGTGAAATCTATGTGAGCTGATTTTCCTTTTAAGCGACTGTTGCATTTCCGCAATGACTTTGGAATTTCAGAGCAGGAAATCTGGAAACGAAGACGTGGGCACGTGACCACGTTGGGAGGAAGGAACACAAGAAGGGGACTCTCAGGACTCAATTAAGATGCAGTGTCTTTTGTCTGATCCATCAGTCATGTTTGCTTCAAATTTAAGGTTTCCTCATGCACAACTCATGGATTTTGGGATTAGGAAACACACAAGATTCATTTCTCAACTGAATGCTGATATTTTTTTTCCCTCCATTTTTTGTAATTCCTGCTTATTTATTCAATTTCACCAAAGACCCCCTTATTTGTTAGAAACAACTTCCCCTAGACAATCAGCATAAATGAAACATGAATGCACCTAGATGTTGTCAATTAGCATTTGGTCATATGCTCCGTATAAAAAGGGTGATTGCTACATGCCCGAAACAAAGCTACAGCTAGAGTGTTGCGTAGAGCTGACACGTTTGATGATCTTCAATATGAAGAGAAGAACGGAGATAGGTAATTCAGTGGGTTTGGGCTTGACAACAGGAAGCGGGAACACAGCAATTGACGAAAACAGGGTGCCAAACTATATTTAGTAGTGTGTATATATTGTGGTACTATCTTCTTGTCAAGGGCAGCTTTCCTACCAGTGCCTAAAGACATTGTAAACAAGTACAAATACTCCGTTGTTACAAGTCTGCCAAACCTAACTATAGCAGCAGCAACATTCTTATTAGTCTATAGTAAGTATAACTATGCATCTACTACTAGTAGTAATTGCACAATGTGACAGCAAGCATTAAACAGCACTTAAAACAAAGCCAGCATCACAAGACAGATTTAATTCCGGGGGCTACAGCAACAGCCCAACCGAACTGCCGAAAATGTCCGTCTGCAGCTCGACAATTGAAGAAAGAAACGCCTCCCGAATCCCCAAAGTAAGGCACCCGTCAGATTTGTGCTACTAGATCCGGACAGCGCAGGAAGCTTCCGAAACTGATTGCGCCAGATTGGGGAGGAGGAGGAACATCCATTTGGAATCTTACCGTCCTGGGTGAGGAGCGGGTAATCGGCGGCGCTGAGCGTGACGAACCAGTCCCACTCGGCGTCGAGCCGGAGCAAGGCGGCGGCGGCGCGGAGCGTGGCGGCGAGGCCGGAGGAGCCCATGGGGGTGCCGGCGGCGGGGCGGCCGACGACGTCGACGTTCCCGAAGGCGGCGATTGCGGGCGCGGCCCGCGCGACGGCGGCGGCGAGCTCGAGGCGCTCGGCCTCGGGCGCGTCCGCGGAGAGGTGGAGCAGGTACTGGTTCCGGGGGTGGTAGACGGCGAGGAGCAGGCGCAGGAGCCTGCGGCCGTCCCCGCGGCCGCCCGAGAGCAGGTACGCGAAGGCGGGCGGCGCGGCGGCCCCGCGCCGCACGTAGCTGGGCGGCGGGAGGCGCGCGAAGAGCGCGGAGGAGGCCGAGTAGCCCGAGAGCGCGGAGAGGAAGAGCATGAGCGAGACGAAGGAGACGGACACCAGCGGCAGCAGCCACTTGTCCGCTGCCCCCATCGCCCGCTTCCCGCGCTATGAAGCGGCAGCAGCGGTGGGGAGCGAGGTGGCCGCGGGAGCGGAGGGGCGGGCGGCGCGTCAACGCCGAGGCGGGCGGCGCTGGGGGGACTCCGGCGGGGTGCTGGTGGGGGTCGCTGCTGCTAGGGTTTGGCGGCGAGATCGCATCGGGGGTGGGGAATGGCGGGCGAGATCGGGTGGGCGCAGCGGCAGCTCGATCTCCTCTCCTCTCCCTCTCGCGTACGTTTCTCTCTCTCTCTCTCTCTCTTTGCCTGTGCCAGGCCTCGCGTACGGAGGTGGGAGAGAGAGCGTGAGGCGCCTGTCGCTATGTACCGGCGCCAACGCGAGCCGGACACGTCGACGCGGCCGCCGCAGCCCCCATGACATGCCGGCCCCGCGCGCCCGGGCCCGCGCGTCAGCGGGGCCGGGGCGGACGGGCTTGGGTCGCGTGGCGGCTGGGCAGAGGGAGCGGGGAGTTGTCGGATGGGGCGAGCGAACGGCGCTTGCTTCGGGCACACGCGTCGCTGACGCGTGGGCCACCCCGGGGGTGCCGCCACCGCGCGGTAAAGAATCGGGGATCCCGTCGGGTGGGGGTGGGTAGGTGGTGGGGAGTAGAGGGATGGTATCCATCCACGGGCCGTGGCCCGCCGTGTCAGTGAGCGGCTCGGGAGGCTGTTATAGTCGTGGGCCCGGGCGCGAGTCAGCGAGGAGATCGAATTTTAATAATTTTAGTTTTTTTTTTGCGTGGGATGGGAGGGGAGGGGGTGCAAAACTTTAGCCGCTAGCGTTTGTCCCGCGCGCGCGCGTGCATTTGACGTAAGTACGTGCGTAAGTCTTTGCGTAATTAGTGTAACTATAAGACGACTTTGCGTGTGGTTGTTCCTCGGCCTAATGTGGCCGCTAAAGTACTCCTCCTCCTCCTCCTCCTCGGCGATCTCTTCCTCCCTTTTGACCGAACCGAAACTCTGGCCTTCTTTTCTTGCTCTTTTTGAATTGAGTCTCTATCTATCGCTTTGCTGCGTGACATCGCGGTAGCTGCAACGACCCCTGCCAACCATACCATCTTGGATGATGAACCCGTCACGCTCGAAGCTCCGCTGGATCCTTTCCCTCCCCTCGCGCAAAGCCGGCGGCTAGGGTAAAGTTCTCCTCCTCCCCTCCTTCAAGGTTTGTCGTCAGGTCAGCCTGCGGGTTCTTCTTTCCTCTGCTCGCCGTTTCCGACGACCCGTGATGAGGAGGAGAAATCTGGTGCCTCAGCCCTGGCTAGTGCTTTAGATTATGTTTTGTAGTCATCGCGGGGTCGGTGCTCGATCGGATGGCGGCACTTCATCGCCGAGTTGGTCTTTGACCCTTCTCGAATTCGTCATTCAAGGCGGAGTCGACGGAGCTCCGGTGTAGATTCCTTCCATCTTCATGGGATGACGATGTTAGGGTTTCTCACCGTGCGTGCAAGGTCATGAGATCTGGTGTCGGATGCTTTGGATCAATTCAAGAGTTCAACGGCGACAACTTTGGCTCCAGGGCGCTAGTCCCTAGCGGCACGTGCAGGAAGACTTCTCAACTATGATCAATAAAATCAGACCGGCTCCAGTATGGAAGCAGCCACAAAGGTGCGCCAGCAGCTTGCTATTGGAGCATTAGCAGTAGTGGTCGCTCAATGGTCTAGGAACCTCGAAGTAGTTTATTATATTTGTGCTGACTTATATTTCGACGAACTTTTATAATTGATTGCTTATTTCTTAAGAAAGAAAAACCCAGCATGCTTAGTTTTGAATTTCCTTTTTTGCTTTTCTTTTTCGAGCAACCGAGATAGGACCTCGCCCTTTTTCTTCCTCTTTTCAAATTGAGTCTTTATCGCTTTGCTACGAGCTGTTGTGTGACGTCAGGTTAGCTGAAAACGACCCCTGCCAAGCATCCCATCTTGGATGAACCCATCACACTCAAAGCTGTTGAAAATATGCCCTAGAGGCAATAATAAAAGGATTATTATTATATTTCTTTGTTCATGATAATTGTCTTTTGTTCATGCTATAACTGTATTATCCAGAAATCGTAATACACGTGTGAATACATAGACCATAACATGTCCCTAGTGAGCCTCTAGTTGACTAGCTCGTTGGTCAACAGATAGTCATGGTTTCCTGACTATGGACATTAGATGTCATTGACAACGGGATCACATCATTAGGAGAATGATGTGATGGACAAGACCCAATCCTAAGCATAGCACAAGATCGTGTAGTTCGTTTTGCTAGAGCTTTTCCAATGTCAAGTATCTCTTCCTTAGACCATGAGATCGTGTAACTCCCGGATACCGTAGGAGTGCTTTGGGTGTACCAAACGTCACAACGTAACTGGGTGACAATAAAGATGCACTACAGGTATCTCCGAAAGTGTCTGTTGGGTTGACACGGATCGAAACTGGGATTTGTCACTCCGTATGACGGAGAGGTATCAATGGGCCCACTCGGTAGTGCATCATCATAATGAGCTCAAAGTGACCAAGTGTTTGGTCATGGGATCATGCATTACGGTACGAGTAAAGTGACTTGCCGGTAACGAGACTAACGAGGTATTGGGATACCGACGATCGAGTCTCGGGCAAGTAACATACCGTCTGACAAAGGGAATTGCATACGGGGTTGATTGAATCCTCGACATCGTGGTTCATCCGATGACATCATCGAGGAGCATGTGGGAGCCAACATGGGTATGCAGGTCTCGCTGTTGGTTATTGACCGGAGAGCCGTCTCGGTCATGTCTGCATGTCTCCCGAACCCGTAGGGTCTACACACTTAAGGTTCGGCGACGCTAGGGTTATTAGGAAGACTTGTATGTGATTACCAAAAGTTGTTCGGAGTCCCGGATGGGATCCCGGATGTCACGAGGAGTTCCGGAATGGTCCGGAGGTAAAGATTTATATATGGGAAGTTGTCATACGGACACCGAAAGGTTTCGGGGGCATATCGGTATTGTACCGGGGCCACCGAAAGGGTTCCGGGGGTCCACCGGGAGGGGCCACCCCTCCCGGGGGGGCAACATGGGCCGCGTGGGGCAGGAGCCAGCCCCTGGAGGGCTGGGCGCCCCCCCCTTGGGCCCATGCGCCTAGGGTTGGGGGGGGGGAACCCTAGAGGGGGCGCCCCCCTTGCTTGGGGGGCAAGTCCCCCCTCCCTGGCCGCCGCCCCCCCTCTAGATCCCATCTAGAGGGGCCGGCCCCCCCTTGCCCCTTCCCCTATAAATAGAGGGGTGAGGGGAGGGCTGAACACCCAAGCCAAGGCGCAGCCCCTTCCCTCCCCAACACCTCTCCTCCTCCATCGTGTGCTTGGCGAAGCCCTGTCGGAGTACTGCCTCTCCACCATCATCACGCCGTCGTGCTGCTGCTGGAGTCTTCTTCCTCAACCTCTCCTCCCCCCTTGCTGGATCAAGAAGGAGGAGACGTCGCCCGTACCGTACGTGTGTTGAACGCGGAGGTGCTGTCCGTTCAGCACTTGGTCATCGGTGATCTGAATCACGGCGAGTACGACTCCATCATCACCGTTCCCTCGAACGCTTCCGTACGCGATCTACAAGTGGTATGTAGATGCAAACTCACTCCCTTGACTCGTTGCTTAGTTGAACTCATAGATGGATCTTGGTGAAACCGTAGGAAAATTTTAATTTTCTGCAACGTTCCCCAACAAAAGCTCCCCTGGATCTTTGTCCTCCCCTCACGCAAAGACGACGAGGGTAAAGTTCTCTTCCCCTTCTGCACCGACCAGCCCATGAATTCTCTTTCGATCTTCGATCCTTCACGAATTTGTTCGTCAAGATGGAGTCGATGGAGCTTCAAAGTAGGCTAGAGTTCCTCGTTGTGTGTGCGTCATGATGAGATATACTGTTAGGCACTTGTCGGCTGTTATCGACAAAGTCAGGACGGCTCCAGTATGGGAGCGGCAACAGGGACGTTTTGTCAACGAAGACGGCACATGCTCTCCGTAGAGGGGCACGGTTTCTAATTGGATGGTTCCTGTTGCAGATAGGAAGGGCAACAGAGACGAATGCAATTAACACATCTCCACGTAGTGTAGGCCGCGTATCCATCCAGTCTGGAATCAACGTCACCGAATCACGGCTTGTTGTTTTGCGCGGGGGCAACGGCTACTCCACTCGCAGACTCCAGAACTAGCTAGTAGCTAGCTGGTGAGTCAGCCTGTCGTGACCAGTGACCACGACGATGCTACTACTCGTTCACGGGTCGCCCGCCACATGGACCACGACGTGGATCCGATCTTCCTTTTCTTTTTTAGGGGTGGGTCCGATCTCTTTATTATTATTTTATTTTGAGAAATGTTTTTTGAGAAGATTGAGAAATTTTAATGTTCGAACCTGTCGTCCGCTTCGGATGCGACGGCCCAGCGTGACAAGGCGTCCAGACGACCGGCCCAGCGGCGGCGGCCCAGGTCGCCGATGGCAACGCTCGCTCTCTCTCTCTCTCTCCCCATCCCGTGCCATGCCGCAACAAACTAACCACCACCACACAACGCGCCTCGAGCGAGCTGGACGAGGAAGACGAAGGCGAGGCTTAAGCCTAAACCCCATCCCCGTCCTCCTCCTCCGGTCGCCGCCGCGGGATGGAGATCAAGGGGCTGGGCCAGCTCCTGGCGGCGCTGGCCGCGGCGCTGTTCCTGCGGGTCGTCGCCGCGGGGGCCGGCCCCGCCCTCCTCCCGCCCGCGGAGGACGACGAGGGCGAGGACCTGGAGGCCGGCGAGGGCGGCGGGGTGCGGCCCGTGACCATCCGGTGGGCCCGCGTCACCTGCGCCCTCAAGAACAAGCGCGGGGACGTGGTGAGTCGCTCCGGCTGACGCCGCCCTCCCCCTCTCCACCTCTCTCTTCTCGCCGGAGCCCCGCGGACGAACACCTTGCGCGCGCGCGCGCATTGGCCTCGTTTCTCTCGTACCCCGCGATGCTAGCGAGGGGCCACGTTCGGCTATTCTGAGTGGCTGGCGCTGGGCCCTGCTGGGGCG